GGACTGGTATACTGTTGACTTCCTCCACTCCATTCTTTGCACACGTTGAGCCTCATTTCTCCCTTTGGGCTGCATACTTTTGAATGCACCAATTATAGATCCTTCTTTGACGGAAATAACCTTTTGACTGTGCAGGAAAGAAAGTTTGAGAAATCTCTTTGGAGACGTACCTTAGTGGAATGCCGCAGCGGCAGGGCAAGGGTAGGAAGCAGCATGCCGGAGGCTTGCAGAGTGGCAGAGCGAAGGAAGGCGTTTGAAGGAGAGGCTGTTTGACATCAAACATGCTTTTTGCCTTCTTATACTATTGACTCAGCTCCAGCCTTCTGTCCAGGAACAGGAGAGGAAATGCTTCATGTCTCCTCCAACATCACAAGGCTGTTTCCTCCCAAGACCTACGCTGAGGGTTTCTGAGCTCTTCCTGGCCTAGCTCGGCTCTGTTAAGTTAAAGGGGCTTCCAGGGAAGGAGCTGGAAAGAAAACCAGCTCTTCTGTATTTTCTGTGCTTTTAAGTGCAGACCAGTGTGTGTGTGTGTGTGTGTGTGTGTGTGTGTGTGTGTGTGTGTGTGTGTGTATGTGTGTTACTGTTGTTTCCTTACAGTTCTTGTTAGAAAAGGTTAGTAGCTTGACTCTCATGCTGCACACCTGTGTGCTCTCCAATTATACTCCCTAATGGTTGACAGCCATTAGTTCAATCAGTCATTAGTTCAATAAGTATCAAGTCTTGTGGTTTATTTATTTTTATGTATATGTATATGTGTGTATGTGCATAATATATATAGATATAGATATCCATCCATCCATCCCATGTGTGCGAGTGCCCACAGAGACCCAAGAAAGTCATCCAATCCCTCTGGAACTAGAATTAGAGGCAGCTGTGAGCCACCTGCTAACCAAGGGTCTTTAGCTTGTGACTCGGCCCCGCATCTTCCACTGTGGATTAGCCCTTCTAAGTTGCTGTCCCTCAGACACTCACTGCTGTCTCCCAGGTTTTACAGGTGGGCCTGCTACAGGTCTCTTAATCATAATAATAATAATTTTAAGACCCAGGGTTTTGGGCTGGAGACATCAGAGAACCCAAGTTCCATTCCCAACACTCACATGGTGGCTAGCAGCTCTCTGTAACTCCAGTCCCAGGGGATCTCTGTGATTCACAGAATACACATACATATAAAATAAAAATAAACATCTCTAAAAAAATTAACACCTTTACTTTAATCAACCAGAAGATAGGTGCTTTTCCAGTTCTAGAATTACTAAAAGAATTTTCACAAGCTTAATAGACTGAGGAGGAAATCTGAAGCTCTCTGGGAGGGATACTCCAATTAAGAAGGACCTTTATCACCGTTTTCCAAGTGAAAATCTGAACCTACTTTGATACCCTCTTTTTCATTAACGACTGCTACCCAACAATCCCCTCCCCCACTGCTGTTCAACCTTGAATAAGAGGCTAAAAATCCCATCACGGATCTATTTTGACTGGAAGCTGAAACTGTTTTCAGAGGAACACTTGGCGTTCCTGACTTGCATTTTAATAAGCCACCTGACAAGACCAACAGGAAGAAAGGAAGATGGATCAGGTGTGAGGAGGAAGATGGGCCTGCTTCTGTTCTTCACCAAGTAGCTGTCAGGGCTGTAACTTGTAGCTGTGGCTGTCCCCCAGTGTGGACTCTGATAAAAGGCTGAGGTCACCAATTACTTCCCCTGTGCCTCTGACAAAAGGAAATCCAGGTTTCAGTAATGACCATCTCGTGCTATAACCCAAAATGCTAGGTTCACCCACCCACCCTGAGGCCTGAAGACATCTGCTGGCCACATCTCTATGGAAATGCATGACATCTTCATTGCTGGGTTGTCTGTCTCCTGGTGGACATCTTGTTTTAGGCACCAACCTTCAGAAAGTTGTTGAACCTTTTTGTTTGATTTTATTAGGTATTGTTTTTAAGAAATTGTGGCTTCTTGGAGGGTCTTACTGCCTTATGCAAGGATGGATTTTGCACCAAGTGTTTTGTGAGTAGTGATGATAGGCCAAGCTTGTAGTCCTAGGTGGTTGTTTTCTCATTCTTTGTATTCAGTCACTTTGCCTTGTCCTGACAGTGCTCTGGACAGCCTGCCAGGATATTAATGACACCGTCAATCCCATCTGCTGTCCGGATTGGTTGGAATTCTGTCTTCCTGAAAAGAAAAGAAAAAACAAATCCTGTGTTTGAAGTAGTGCTATTTTGAAAGTCATGCCACCAGATTTTCCATTTCATTGGAGAAAAGTATTAATAGTTTGTCTATTACTTTCATCTCAGTTGTGATCCCTGGAGGGCTGAGGAAATAGTGAATGTTTACTTTACCGAGCTGCTCAAGGTGTGATTACACTGTTCTTTGGTGGGCCAGATGGGAAAGAAAAGTGAGCAGGGGAAGGAAGGTGTCCCTTTCTTAGGGACACCTGTGCTATAGTGTGTAGAGGGCTGTCTGCTCTGTCTTTAAGTCTCTGTTCATGTTCTATAATAATGGTAGGGCATTAGAGAATCTACCAGATTGTGTTACGTTATATTTAATAATTGAAGGCTTAGCTAAGTGCACATTTGTTCAGTTAAACCATAGCAATTATGTCATTGTGCTCTGATTTATAACTGTTAATTCCTCAAACTAAAGTTGGGATGCACATTTTTAAATTTTTATGTTTTTACCTGTATTTTGATCTCTGTGTGATCATATCAGGGACATAATTACAGTTGTTCTTTTTTAATTAGCAATGCTTTTGCAACTTATGAGTAAATAATCCTTAATTAAATGTGTTGGTATTATTAACTTCCTTTTTTTCATCTGAATAGCAAATCAGAGCGTGAGATTCTCTTGTTTGCTTTTTTATTTTGAGATAGTGTTTGCTGTGTAACTTAGACTGGCCTCAAACTCAAGACCTTCCCATCTCAGTCTCCTGTGTGCTGGGATTGTGCACACGAGCCATCATAACAGGGTATGAAGTTACTTTCACTTTGTATTTGTATATTCAAATCTATCTATTAACCTGATCATTTTAGAGTCGGGATTCCTGAAGGGCTCCTTTCTGTAATCGTACACAGTCTCTCACATTTCTTTAGAAATAGAAATGAGGCTGGGGAGATGGCTCAGTTGGTAAAATGCTTGCCACGCAAGCATTGGGACATGAGTTCAAATCCTCAGCACTGCTGTAAAAAGCCAGGTGAGATGGTGCCCCCTGTAACCCTACTTCTAGGAAGCAAAGAGAGACAGGAGGGTATCCCTGGGGCTTGCTGGTCAGGCAGTCTAACAGGATTATCAAGCCTAGTGTCTGCAAGAGACCTAATCTTTAAAAAAAAAAAAAAAAAAGTGATACAGGCCCTTGGCCTCTGGCTTCCACATGTATGCCCATTAATCCAAAACAAACATGAACACCACACTCATGCACAGAAATACAATAGAAATGTCAACAGATTGTTCTTTGGGCTGTCTGCTCACAAAAAAACAACATGGAGGCTTACTATTAATTGTAAAAGCTCGGCCATCTTTAAGCTTGTTTCTTACTAGCTCTTATAACTTACATTAACCCTTACTTTTATATCTACATTCTTCCACGTGCTTGTTAACCTCATCTCCATTATGTCCATCCTGGTTATTCCACATCTGGCTGGCAGAGTTCTCTCTGTCCAGAAGTCCCACCTATACCTTCCACCTAGCTCTTGGCCAGTTAGCTTTTTATTAAACCAACCACAATGAGACGTTCATCTTCACATATTGTAAAGGAATATTACACAACATAGAAATAAAGGAAAATTCATAGAATCAATATCTACCTGGAATTGTCAAATGGGGAAAAAGAGAAAAAAGAAAAAAACCACAAATGACCTAGTCAGAATGGCCTAGTCAGAAACACTGGGTCTTATTATACACATATATACAAATGCATTAGCTTCATAAGGAGGGGAGAAACATTTGACAAGCACAATTTCTTGGGTGTTACTATAGTTTTCATAAATATTGTGTTAAGAGGTAGGCTGGGGAAACTACAACTACATTAGAGAGTTGTACTAGAAATACTAGAACAAGTCATTTTTAGGGAGTATACTCATTGTAGTCAATCATAGGCCATAGGAAAATATGTTACAGCTTGAGTTTGAAATACAAGCTTTCTTAGTGGTAGACAGCTAGTTCTTAGAGGTGAGACCAGACCATTTTTGAAGCAGTTTGCTGATGAAATTTTCTAATTCCTAATTTCTGAGTTTTTCCTCCCTCCACAAGTTGGACCAAAGATGAGTCAAAAAACACACCTGTTTTTGAACTTAATGTACCCAAGTCATTTCCTGTTGACAGGTGTCTGGTGAAAATGTCATTCCTATCATCACCAAATCTCTGTCCTAGAGGAGGACTTTGGCCTCAGCCTTTCCTGATTTTTGTTCCATGCTGTATATTGACATTGAGATCCATGTTTTCTTCTCTGGACATTGACAAGTCTGTACCATCCAGCCTTGGGGCCCTACAAGCCCATTTAGAGCTAGCTGATATTTTACCTTTGTGCATGTAACTTCATAGAGATTAAAGTGTAGATACGCAGTGACTGTTTGAATTTAATGTAAACACCCTAAAAAAGGAAAAAAAAGCTTCCAGATGGTCTTATTTATCAATACGACGTTAGTCGTAAACAGTACCATATTTTTCAACGGGGTGAAAAAACTAAGGTGCGAACATAGAGCTGAAATTGCTGCTATAGGCACTGTGGACAGAGTGGAAAGCGAAGACATTAAGGCTGATGTGTGATGTTCCTGATGTGTCTGGATTACAGAGGCTTTCATTGTCAGGGAGCCTGCTCACTGCACAGTCTCTGATGCGGACAGGAAAAGCACCTATGAGATGCCCATGCCTGCTTCTTCCAGATTGTCTCGGATGACTCACTTGAAAAGGCTGCAGGGGAAAGGGTCTAATGTATGACTTTGGCTTTGCTGACACTTCTCTGCCATTGTAGTAAATTCCTTTTTTTTTTTTTTTTTGGTCTTTCAGATGAGTATAGAATCAAACCTGTGGAAGAGGTCAAATACATGAAAAATGGGGCAGAAGAGGAACAGAAAATAGCAGCCAGGAACCAAGAAAACCTGGTAAGAACTGAGGTGCTCTGTTGACTATGACTTGTGGTGACTATCTATTGGAAGAAAACCTGCATTGCACATCGAGCCGAGGCTCACACCCTGGAACAAGATTGCTTGAAAATGCTGTAGCTATTCTTAGCTTGCCTGGAAGCTGCACCATTACCCTGTATCCTGTTTGTCTCAGAATAGGTCCCTTTTTAATCCTGATAAGAAATGCTCCAGGGAAAACACAGCAAAATTATTAATGTTTTTAAAAGTCAAGTTGAAGGGAGTTAAAAAAAAAAGCCTGATGTAAGATTGAGATGTACTGGAGGTAGACCCCTCCACCTCCTAACACACATTCAGGTCAGGATGAATAGTAGCATTTCATTATTTGAAACTTGTAATGAGGAGGTTTTCAGAGAAAAACCTCATACTTCTAAAATGGGTCTCCGTCCAAAGAGCCTGTTCTTCACGTCCGTGGTTTTAAAGGTATCGCACATTGGAGTTAACGTGAGAATTGTAATAACATGAAGTTAGAGAACTTCTTCCCCAGCAATCCACCTCTGTGAAATATTTAGGCAGTTGGCGTCTTAATTGATTTTTAAGAGGTTAAAATGGCAAAAAAATGTATGTCTATTCAGTTGCACTGTACCAAATGGGTTTTGTTCGTATCTTCCATATATTTTATATTTATATTATTTTCTTATAGGCTTGAACAAATGTAATTTTTAGAATTTTGTGTAGCATTAAGTAGTTTTGCTTCACTGACATTTTTTCTAATACACGTTTTGTTCTTACTTTTGTGACTCCTCCTGCAGCGCAGGGAGTGACACAATATCAACCACTACTCATGGCTGTCATTTTCCATCAGACTCTAGTGGATATTAGAGGTGTTGTTTTGTTCATTTGATTGTTTCATTCTCTTCTACATAACAGCCCTAAATAGTAAAATGTCAGGAAGTGAGTATGTTACATCTTAAGTAGTGAAAGTAAAGGACCGGTCAGTGGAAGGACACCTGCCTAGAACAGCCTGGCCTTGGCTTCCCCTCCTGTACCTCTGCTTGGTGTGCTTTTCTTTGGGATCCTGAGGAAGCTGGAGACTGAGTTGATCTCACTGTTCATCCTGCTGAGGTCAGCACAAGACCCCCTCCCCCGCCCCCATCATCTTTACAATCTGTTGGCTCTTCTGATACATTCCTAGTCACCTCTGTGATGAGAATTGGCACTAGTGACCTATGCAGACCAAACAGACACTTGAAGAAAGAGACTTCTGGTCATGCTGGCTGATTGGTGTGACATATAGGCCAACCCCCACTCCTTTATTTGGCCAGATGCTCAGGGTCCACACTGCCAGCCGCAGTTTCCCAGTGTGCAACATTTGCATGGGGGTGGGGAAGAGATGGATGTCTTGGATGCTGAAATGAGGAGCAGGCTGCTTTCCAAGTGAAAAGTGATTTTCAGGTATCTGTTAGTATGTGTTAGTTTACAAGCCAGTGTCTAGTCTACGCAGTATATGCTACCCAGTAGCTGTTCTACAGTCTTGAGCCTTTCAGTCACAGTTTCCATGGTTGATGAGTATCATTGATGTCCTCTAAATTCACACAGAAATGTATTCTGATTTCTATCATTGCTTTACATCCACTTCGCGTTTCACTTATTTAAGGCCTTTGCAAAGAGAACATTTCTTAATGAAAACAAAGATAACAAAAGCTGTGAAGACAGAATTTTCTTTTCTAATATCTAAGTCTAATATCTAAGTCTAAGTCTAAGAGTAATTGCAAGACATACATCGTAGGTAAGGATAAGACATAGGTAATAGATAAGAACCTGGGAGAAAACATTTGTGCTAATACATAGTGAAAGTGCTCATACCTGAGAGACATAAATTATACCTCTAATTATACTTCTAAATAAGAAAGGGGCGAAATGTTAGAAAAAAATAGATAAATGGACAGACCAAGTGGTTCACAGTAAACCATATATGGTCATCATACAAAAAGCTATTCTCCATCATTTGGCCTGTGTACATTCTGTCAGACACCAGTCTCCTTTGTGTCCCTGAAGGGAATTGCCCCCCTCCCACAAGGTACGCTTGCCTGAGTTTCTGGTGGGCTGATCTCTAAAATCACTTGTGCTTTCGTTCATTTGATTTTGTGTTTCCGAGAGCCAGAGGTGTGCTGGTTCTCAACCAGTTTGTGCTAGTTGAATGTCATTGTAATTATGTAATTTAGTTAAATAATATGCAAGCCAGTAAAACACCAGCATGGAGAGAGCTGTTACAGTGAGATTTAAATGGAAGGCTTTGAAAAGTCTTGATGAAGGCAGGTTATTAAAAGCTTGCTGTTTAATTGAATTCTGCATCCAGCCTCTTACAAGGTCTTTACTTTCTCACTTCACTTAAGAAACCAAACAGCAATCACAGCTATGCTTTGAGGACACGGTCAGTGAAGGAGGAAAAGCCATGTTCTTGTGACAAAAGATGAGAAAAGAAATGCACATCTGAAAATAAAATAACAGGTTTAGTGGGCATATACATTTTACATGCCCCTACTTTGATTCAATGACTTTAATTACCAGTTGGGGTGTTATCACCTAATATAACTTACTATAATTAGGGAAATACCAATTAAAATGTGATCCCATTTTTTTCACCCATTAGATTGGCAAAACCCTGAAGTTTGATAATATCAGACTTTGGCATGGTTGTATTCACATACCAATAGTAAACACCTCTCTTAGAGGACAATGTAGTGATTGGTGTCTGTGAACCTTGAAACATGAATATTCATGACCCAACACTTCCACAGCTTGCGTCCAATAGGCAGCTGTCTAGCTGCATGAGAAAGCTAACTTAAGACATTCACCAATAGTGTGGTTTATGTTGGAAAAAGAAAAAAAATGAAGAAAGAGTTATCTTACTGTCAGGAGGAGAATAGTTGTTACATCTCACTAAGCAACAATTAAAAAAAAATGATTTGGAACTGTTACGGGGAAAACCATGGAAATTTCAGCATTGATATAGGTACTGTGATGCCACTTAAGATTTTTTTTAACGAACCCAAAACAGCAAAGCTCTGTATCTTCCCACAAATATCTGTGCATATGCAAAAATTCATAGATATTTCAGAAAACTATGATAGTTGTGTTATAACCTAGCAGCACACAGGAGTTTAGCTAACCAATTTGCAAAATGGGCACAATCATGGAACTCACTTTAGTGAAAACTTGTGTGTGCAAATTACATAATATTAGCACAGTTCCTGGCAAAGAACATGCCATTATGGGATATTGTTATTATACTTTTGTTAATGGAGTTGTGTTGCTTAGGGACAATCGAGAAAGAATTAATTCTGTGTTCAAGGGGGATTTTTATTATTTAAATTTTGGTTGAAATTCATTTATTCAAAAGGGGTAAAATAACAAGTTTCTAGTTTTGATTACTTCAGAATCTTAAGTAGGATCATGACATTTTCTCATTGTCTTGGGTAGATAGAGTACATGTAGGGAGGGCTAGAAATCAGCCAGAAGGAAACATGACAATCAGTTAAGTCTCATGCTATGGAAGTTCATAATTTTGCACATAAATAATATAGACTTGTAAGTATCTAACCCTTCACCTCTGGTAGTGTCTTGACAAAGAACATTTCATGTATATTTTGGAAGTCCTCCTTACTGTTTAATAAAACATTGTCTGGTCTGCTTTAATTAACACTTAGCATTCTGAGGACATCCTTCCCCAAGAGCTGTTAAATCACTTCATACTAATTTTGTTTACTTTGCTCGTTTAGGGTGTACACTTCCTAGGTTTACATGTGTTATATTCATTTTTAGTCATTCTTCCAAGATATCTTTGTATAAATGAGAAGATCCTTTTCTCTCACATGATACACAACACAAGCTTTTGGTTTCTGTCTCATCCTTAGCACTGAAGGATGATTTAAAACACCTCTCTGTGGTGCTGGAGAAATGGCCTAATGGTTGGTGAAGAGAGTTTACTACTCTTGAAGAGGACCCTGAGCTTGGCTCCAGCAACAGTGTCAGGCAGCTCATAACCTGCTTTAACTAACTACAGCTCCAAAGAACCCTGCACCCTCTTCTGGCTGCCTCAGGGAACTGCACTCATGTGCACATACACACAGACATGTATTCATTCACATAAACAAAGACAAAAATACAACTTAAAAAGCAAAAGCACGCATTTATATCTAAATCATCAATTCCCAAGCACAGTCAAGGAAGAGAGTTTTTTAAGTGAAATGCTCTAAAGTGTTTCATAAGGGAGGCTGAAGTGAAATTTAGTTTTGTGCATGACTACACACCCTCTTCATTCGGTGAGTTTTCAAACATATCCCCAGTACAGTAAATTTCCCAAAAATATCAGGGCATTTGATTGCCAACAAGACTTGAAATTAGGAAATATCTTTGATGAAACACAGTGTACTAGAAACACATGAGAATCTTAGGAGCTGTGACATGACATCCAGCTGATAAAGTAAGAAAGTGCCCCTGGCAAGAGAACTCCAGTTCTACAAAGGAGGAACAGCTGGAAACATGAACCAGAGAGTATCTGTGGTTCTGCTGGGTGATTTAGGTCAACAGGAAGGCTAAGTGCTCAAGACCACAGCCATCAAATCACTCTAATTATTAATACATATTTTGTAAGGAATAAAGGACATGTGAATGAGGGCTGTAGGTACAAACACAAAGTTTGTTCTAATCAGATAAACATATCCCCAAAAGATGCTGTCATAATTAGCAATGCAGAAGTCCATGTGGACTGCATTTGTTTAACTTGTAGTACCATGTTTACCTTTATTGTGACCCATAGAGTCTGAAAAATTCCAACAACAAAGTAAAGGAAGGCATGCTTGGCATCTTATTTACATAAGAACGTTAGTCACCTATCTAGATATAACCAAATACCCAAGAAGAGGCAACACGAGGGAGAGTTCATTCTGACTCACAGTTGGTGGGATAATGTCCATCATGGAGAGGAAGATACTGTCCAGTTCCAAGGTAACAGGAGT